TATCAAGAGATTCTCGTCATTATTCAACTCCCCTGGTATATTTATGAAATGATTTGATCCTCAGGCTCCAGTACAGACCGGAGTCACCCAACTGTAGGAGAGAGCTGTCATGCTCTGGGAAAGCATTTAGGTGGAAAGTCACATCGTCAGCTACTCGGGCCTTGTGCCCCTGCCCTTTGGCCACCACTTAGCCGATCCTTGCCCATCTTCTCTTCCCAGGGTTTGCTGGCTCCTGCCTGCCCCGATTCAGCACCATGCCATTCATCTATTGCAACATCAATGAAGTGTGCCACTATGCCAGATGCAATGATAAGTCCTACTGGCTCTCCACGACTGCCCCCATTCCCATGATGCCTGTGGGTCAGAGCCAGATTCCCCAGTACATCAGCCGCTGCTCTGTTTGTGAGGCACCCTCGCAAGCCATTGCTGTGCACAGCCAAGACATCACCATCCCACAGTGCCCTTTGGGCTGGCGCAGCCTCTGGATCGGTTACTCCTTCCTCATGGTAAGGCCTTGAACCATTCTGTCCCCGAGTGAAGACAGAGGTAGATGGTGGGAGAGAAGCGCTCAGGGCAGGCTTTCATGGATCTTAGGCTCCAGGTACACTTAGAATTCAACATAAAGAGAGATGAAGATGGGAATTCCAACCCCTTGTGGTTGTGGGGGAAGGAGAGCAATTTAAACCTGGTGTTCTGGACTGAGAACATGGAGTTCTCAGTCCAGGCCAAGGCCTTACTCTGTGTGTTCTTCCATTTTGTCACTATCAAAGGAAGAATATAACACATATAATCTGCACTTGTCACTAAGCCAAAGTTTGATTCCAGAACCAACCTGCACATTAAATAAATAACTATAATTTAATAAAAATTGTCAAATTACACATATTTGTGGAACACGGGAGTCAAGGAAGGCAAATCTCACATAGCTGGGAAGCCTGTGTGATAGGAACAGATGGGAAAACACTGGGTGAAAGGTGATCACTGGCTACGCAGCATGGTTAGGAGGGTACAAAGGAGCCAGGAGCAGGCGACTCATCCCACAGCTCCCTCAGGGGGGATGGCCAGTACCTGCTCCCAAAGCCTAGGTTCAACATGCCGCCTAGAAGCTGAGTGATTTCAGGGTCCAGACTTCTGAGACGCAGCACATATGCAGTCCTTTAAGAGCAGGACGTGGGGCTCATCCACTCTGAGTTCTGGCATCGCCCCCACGGTCCCCTCCCTTCTGTTTCAGCACACTGCTGCCGGGGCTGAGGGCGGAGGCCAGTCCCTCGTCTCCCCTGGCTCCTGCCTTGAGGACTTCCGGGCCACTCCTTTCATTGAGTGCAGCGGTGCCCGTGGCACCTGCCACTACTTTGCCAACAAGTATAGTTTCTGGCTAACCGCAGTGGAGGAGAGACGGCAGTTCTGGGAAGAGCCTGTTTCGGAAACACTGAAAACCGGGCAGCTCCACACCAGGGTGAGCCGCTGCCAGGTGTGCATGAAACACCTGTAGGGTGTTGTCTGTCATACGGCCCCTGCCCTCCCTACCCCCTCACAACAGTCACCTCACAAATCTGGGCTGTCTGAGAAAGGAAGGCCTGAACCCATTTGCCTGTCAAATTGTACATCAGAGTCTCATTTGGACTGGACTACTGGACACTGGGCATCCCAACCCTCAGGCCCAACAGATGAGCCCACTGTGCTAGGATTCGCAGCTCTATGTTCATCAATCTGGTGCTAATGTTCCATTTGGACATGTGTGTGATTATCCATGGTTACCTCAGAAAGATGTGCTGGACCGCCATTTTCAAAGACTGCTAGAGTTCTCACTGCCTTGACCAGGAAGCTCTTTATCACAGCTAAGTTATTTCTTTATGATGAGATGTCACCACACATTATTTGACTTAAACTAGAACTCAGGCTTTCCACCCTAAAAGTATGGCTCTGGCTGAACATTACGGACAGCTCAGGTCTGCCTAGGGCTAGCCCTGCCTACTTAAGGCAGCCTGCTGTATCTAGGCAGGCAGTAGAATTGAGATGAGGAGCCAGCCAGAACTGAGCTGTGATTCCTTTTAGAGTTTGTTAATTCCATGCCCCGTCTTGACTAGGAAAAGCTGAAATACCAGCATTTGGTCCTAGACAAACCACTGCCTCCTGACTGGATCTCTCCACAGCCAAAGAGATGGACAACTTGATCTGGTCCAAAGTAGAACAAAGGATGCAGTAAACGTGACCAAGTTCTCAGTAGGAAATGAGAACCACTTCTCTTTCTTCTTGGCTTAGGGCAGAGGGATGAATAGATATGGAACTGTCAGTTTTGCTTTTAACTCCAGGAACAAACAGGTAAATCTCATGTCCCCATTTCTCAGAAATCCCTTATTACTCCAAATGCCACCCAGATCTATGCAGGGTGGCAAACTGAGGCTGCAGTGAGTTGGCTCCTTGCATTCTGAGGCTGTTCAAGACTTTCCAATGAAAATGGCCGGCCATCCAACTACTCTTTCACAGGTAGCCTTTTAAACTATTTGCAAGTTTTTTTCCCCAAAATCACATAAAAATCCAGCACACACCACTGTTAGCAGACCCAAGGCACAGTCTGAGTTGCCCATGAGGTATACTTTGCCCATACTACCTGCTGTTTGAAGTGATCTATTTTAATTAGCAGTTGCCTAGAACACACTCAGTTCCGTGGACACGAAGCACTCCCTTCCGGGTGATTGCACTTCTTTGGGTATTATATAAACTGTGCCCACACAAGCAAAGCATAACTAGTATAATCTGAGCTGTTGTCATTATCACCTCCTACATAAGTAAAGGATGGTGTTACCTTGTACATAGCAAATAAAATTAATGAAATGTGAATGTTTGACTTTGAGACTCTTTTAAAATCTACTCTCACTCAACTTTATAAGCAAACATTGAAACAGGGAAAATTGGAAGATGATTAAGTCAAAGGGCAGAAAGTTTCTCCTGGTTAACAGGCCCACAATATACTTTACAATAAGCACACACGCGCTTCTATCTTTATCACATGCTAGAGTTCAAGAAGGGACTTTCTATCCTTCAGTGGCCTAAAAATCATTTACAGATAAATTAAAAGTAGGGAAATACTGAAGTCCAAGAAATGAAATCTTGCTGCATGTTGGTGGAGCATGCCTTTAATCCCAGCACTCGGGAGGCAGAGACAGGCGGATCTCTGTGAGCTCGAGGCCAGCCTGGTCTACAAGAGCTAGTTCCGGGACAGCCAGGGCTTCTACACAGAAAAAGCCTGGCTCTAAAAAAAGCAAGGAAAAAAATAAATAATGAAAACGAAACGAAATCTTGTGACTGGAGAGACTGCTCAGCAGTGAAGAGTACCTACTGCACAATCTGAGGACTGGAGACAGGATCACAACACCCACATAAAAAAGCCAGGAGTTCTGTGTGTGTCTGAAGCCCAGCTTCAAGGGAAGTAGAGACAGGAAGGTGACTGGACCTTACTTTCGTCCATCCTAGCCAAGAAAATGTGAGCTTCAGGTTCAGGGAGAGATCCTCTCTGAAAAGACTACGGGGAGAATGATAGAAGAGGATACCCGAGGCCCCCCTCCTCAAGCCTCCATCTGCTCGCCGAGCTGTGCACACACACACAGGTGCATATGCTCACACAGGCACATATACACAAATAGATACAGAAAAACTAAATCTAAACTAGATGTCTGCAATATGCGTATCTTACAAGTGCATATAAGTTAAACATGTGTGTGTGTTTACATACGCATAAAGCAATCCTGGGGAAGGATAAACAAGAATATCCCAGCAGTTTTCAGGGAAGGAAACTGACCTGTGGGAGGGAGAGATTTCAGTGAATACCATTTTGCATCTTTTGAATTTTTAACCTATAGAATACATAAGATACTGGCAAAAAGAAAAAGGAAGGAAAAGGAAAAAAGGGAAAGAAAAAGATGGAACCTAAGGAAATAAATGGGTTGGTCAGTGCTAGTTTCAAGACACCAGATGCTGGCCTCCTGTGGAACTCTTTAAAGGATGAAGATGAAATGCAGACCCATGTGAAACTGAAAGGGGCAACGGAAGGAAGACAGAGAGATGCTGTGGAGAACAGCATCCTTCACAACACATGTTCAACACAATAATCTCATGTGTCTGTGCTTCAAAACTTAAAAAGCTGTTGGTCCTCAATGACTTGGACATGTATTTAATGGACAGATTAAATGTCACCATATGAATAATTCTTTCTAAATATAGTTATCATTCAAAACAATATAATTCAAACAATTTATTCCATCCTTCAAACAAAAATGAACACTAAGTGAGCGACTGGTAAGGCCATAGCCAGCCCTCCACTTCCTTTTGTAAATCAAGTTTTATTAGATTACAGCCATGCTTAGTCACATGCATATTGTCTAAGGCTTTTTTACAGCACAGAATAGTTACGACAAAGGCCACATGCCCTACAAAGCCTAAAATATTATCTATCTACTCCTTTAAAGAAAAAGTTTGCTCACCTCTGATTCAAGTAATCATGGTTTGACTTAAGGATATGGTGACATCAAACAAAAGCATCAGTAAGGCTGGCAAGTGTGGCCTACTGAATAGGTTCTTCCAAACTGGAAGGCAATTAAGAGGTGTACATTTGACATCTTTTCTTTGACAAATATTTTGGTAAAAATTATAATTACATGAAGTACACATTCAAATAATTTAACAAGAGTATTTCTCCCTGGTTTACTTATTTTATTATTTGAGCAAGAAAACAGGCTTCTTCTTAGTACTTATCCCCAAAGAGGTCACACCTGAAAGGATGAAGAAGAACAGTATAACCATCTTTCATCTGCTGGTGCTTGCAATAAGATGGAAGCCGCTGTCTGTCTTCCAAATGCTCCCATTCCAGCTGCTGAAGATTTGCTGTCCCCATGTAAGACAAGTTGGAAGCAACGGATTACAAATCTTTCTTCTAGACGCCATGACTTTTTCTTTTCAGAGAAGTGTTGTTGCCACTGATTTTTTTTTATTTCTGAAAAATCATAATTGGCTCAGTTATAATTGGTATTGAGTTTGTATGCTGTTGGCATATCAGGCACTTGTTGACCAAAAAAGTTTTATGTATCAAGTTCTTGTGGAGTCAGATGAAAGGCAGAAGACCTTCACATTGAGTTCTCGCTATCTTACACACTCAGAATCTCAAAATCTTCCTCCAGGTCAAAGTCCTCCAGGTGCTCAGTAGAGTCTATGAATTCTGTTGGAACACAAAGATGAGAAAGTAGAAACACTTGACACCTGGGCTGATGTTCTCAATCAAGATACTACCCAGCCACTGCTGCTTTGCCTATCTGAATCAGTTTGATAAGGCGAGGTTTGTCTGGAGGAAATGTACAATAGGACTACTATAAAGAATTAGACATTTTCTGTAAGACATGAAACAACCAGGCCTGTTTATACAGAGCTGCTCACGGTGGTCTGATTAAGGCTCACTATGGCACCTCTTTGTCTTTCTGCCATTTTATTTATTTGTTGAGACCAGGTCTTGGGATGTAGCTCAAGCTGCCCTGGAACTTACGATCCTCCAGCCTCATCATTCTGAGTGTTTGTAGGCACACAACTACCAACCCAAACCTCAAGGTACTTTCTGAGTTCCCAGGTCTGGGATTCACTATTATAAAAACAAATTCTAGTCATCTTGAGATTGCAATGACAAATCCTTTACAGCGTGTTGTGTTCTTTTGGTTAGCAGTCTTTCAAATGAACAAACATCAGCTTCTTCAAAGATTAAAAGAATCAGGCTAGACAAGTAGAAATTTCACTTTTTCATCAGCAGTATGAGCCATAATTGCTTTTATCTCAGCAGACAGTTGCAACATATGGGTCTGCTGGCTGAGAGCTTACAGAAACAGCTTACCTGCACCTGTGGTTGTCACTTCCGGCTTGGCTGGAGGTACAAAGGGAGGCCAATGTGATGGATGCTTCTGAACTAATTCAAACATCCTCAAATTCTCCTTTAGAATTTCCTGGGTAGACAAAGGAACAGCTGTAAATGTCTGTTTACTTGCCAGTTCAAGAGCCTGAACCCTGAGAGTAGTCCAGTAGCTGGCAGGTGGGACCCAGCAAACACATTCATCCTCCACTTGCATAATCTGAAGACCTCAATGAAGGCATCGATGCTGGATCCGGTTGACAAGGCCAGCAGGACACTGGAGCAGACAGCTAATGGAGCCCAGTGTGAACTGATCCAGTCACGGGGCTCAGGGAATTCACTAGGTATACAGGTTCACCCAAATGTAGGGGGGAGATAATCAAAAAAGTCATTTAATCAAAACAAAATATGCCCCAAGAGAATTCTGGTACACAACTGCATGCCTTCGGATCTAGTCCAAATTCGTCTTGGTTTAAATGATACAGTCATCATGAAATTGTCATTCTGGCTTTAAGCATGAATATAGCATTGATACATTCTGAAATGGAAACGCTTCCTTTAGAGAAATAATCTTTGGAGCTGAACACTTTGCTCAGTGGTTAGGAGCACTTTCTACTCTTCCAGAAGAACCAAATTTAGCACTGAGCACCCACAATGGGCAGGTTACAACCCGTACCTAAGGCTCCAGAGGATCCAGTGCCCTCTTCTGGGCTCCACTGGCACCTGCGTACACAGGGCAAACTTACACAGACAGGTAAGTAAACGTAATAAGCATGGATCATTAAAGAATAACTCTTGAGCCGGGCGGTGGTGGCGCACGCCTTTAATCCCAGCACTCGGGAGGCAGAGGCAGGCGGATCTCTGTGAGTTCGAGACCAGCCTGGTCTACAAGAGCTAGTTCCAGGACAGGCTCCAAAACCACAGAGAAACCCTGTCTCGAAAAACCAAAAAAAAAAAAAAAAAAAAAAAAAAAAAAAAAAAAAGAATAACTCTTGAATGCATGTGTGGGGGCATATTCCTCAGTGGAAGCCACTGGTAAGTTATTCTTATTCAAGTACTTCAGGCAACTCTAAGTAAATATAATGGCTACAAACAACAACAACAAAAAAAAAGACGTGAAGGCAGAAGGGGAACTTGTTGAGAAGAAAGAGTTTGATGCGAAGGGTAAGAGAGGATAATGGCAGAGAATGTGAACAAAGTACATTGGGTATGTGTTTGCGCGTGCATGTGTATAAAACTTTGAAGAATATACATATATGTATATATATATAAAACACATTACATGTCTTCTTTGCGAATAATATTTACATAGCTACAGCAATAAGACCGCTTGATTTTCCCATTAGAAAGGAATACTAATTCTCTTGCGCTGGGGATATAGCTCTGTGACAGAGCACTTTCGGACATGGGTTCAGTCCTCAGAACTGCAGCAATAGTGATAACAAACCATATTTTTCTTGAACTGGGCATAGTGGCGCATATCTATAATCTAAGTATACCAGAAGTTGAAGGAGAAGTATCACAAGCTTAAGGCCAGCCTAGGCTTCATACTGAGTTCCAGGCTAGCCTGGGCAATGCACAATAACTTCTCTCAAATAAATAAATTCTTGTAAAATCTCCATTTCATTTCACTAAGCTATTTATTATCTGAGGTCACAGATTCAGTTAGGGACATCAGTGTTAGTCATTTGTTCACTGTGAAGAAAAAGATTCCCTCCATTTGTATACAGCACGCTGGGATCCTGCAATTCTTTGGTTTTGGAAGACAGAAATTCATGTCTGGTACCCCAGCAGACACTTCAAAAAATATTTTCTATGATCTCCCTAAGTTCATTCAGTGAACACATATCAATATATAACATCTCATTCGTATGTGTTAGAGACTGGCAACGAGGGAAACAGAGATTGGTGAGTTAATACAATAATTCTCTTCTACACAATATGCCAAAAGGAATCACTCATCATGGACTTCTGCAAATTCTGATCCCTTTCAGTGGCCACATGCCTGTATCTTAAATAAATAACCCAGTTAGTGGAAGAAAATGTCCTCCAAACCACAATGGTATATACTGCATTATAAATGAATCACTAAACACCTAGAAGCATGTCAGTCTGTTTAACCATCTCAATGTTACAAACACGAAAATGAAATTTTGAAATTTATGCCCTGGCAATGCTGAAGCATACATGAGCAGCCCATATATGTCAGTTCTGTTGAACTTGTCCATATTGGGTCTCATGGTCTAAGTTGATGAGGACGACTGACCAGGTCTCTTCCTCAGGCGGGCACCAGATCTCATTACAGATGGTTGTGAGCCACCATGTGGTTGCTGGGAATTGAACTCAGGACCTTTGAAAGAGCAGGCAGTGCTCCTAACTGGTGATCCATAACATAGTAGGGAAGAAATTGCAGTTTGAAGTTAAAACAGCCCAATGTTAGCTGAACGTTTCTGGTGCCACATGGCCTTAGCAAGGTGCAGCGTTCACCTTCAACACTGAGTGTCCCACTTAGCTGACACACTCACAGGTTTGACTTTCTTCACTTGTCCCAAACTTATGCAGAGTTTTCCACAACCGACAGGTTCTTTGTTATCTTAGTTTCCTCCTCTTGCAACCAAATTATGTCAGAATGGTTTTGTTATTATGTATAAGTAATCTTTAAACGGAGCCAGATTTAGTAGCTTTCATGTTTGCACTTTTTTTTTTAATCCATACATCCTTACCTTCTGAACAAGGCTACACCAATTGTCAAAGTCTTTCTCTTCTTTGCAGAAAAATCCCTTGGGTGGGGAAGAAGAACACTATTTAGAATTTCCCTTTACAAGATAGAGCTAATGTCCCAAAGTTAGGAGGTGGGCCACTTTCTTGCCACACGTTTTCCTGGACTGACTGGCTGGGCCCTCTCTCCCTAAAATCACTGGCTTACATAAGCATATACATAACCATTCCGTCTCTTTCTTTCCTCATGTCTCCTCCCTTCTCCCCTCCCTCCCGTCCTCATTCTCCCCCTTTCTCCTTCCCTCTTCCTCCTGGTCTCTGTTTCTTTCTTGCCTTCTCCCTCTCCCATCAACATTGTTAGACATTGTAACTTGAAGGTCAGTCTCCAAAGCATGGGGTTAATTTCATCACATTCACACATGCATGTGCGCAGGCGCACACACACACACACACACACACACGCACGCACACACACACACACACAGTATAAAATATTTTATTGCAACAGGACACAAGAGCTTTTACTTGTACTTTTAGCTGGATAGTACTTTTAGTCGGATAGTCTTTTAGATGGAAGCATTACTTTAAAAGATGGTTGACTCTTTGAAAAACTGTCTGTCAGAGTTGCGAGAAGCAGCAGTATCCTGCCCTGACAATCACCATTCAGTAGGACAAGAGTGGTCCAAAACAAGAGGGGAGTATCAGTCCCTGGTCACTGGTGTTCTGATGAGTGAAACAGGAAATGAAGATGCAGAAGGGCCTAAGAAATACTGACTGCTTCACAGGCAGGAGCCCTTTCAATATGTGTTGATAGCAATCACACTTTCTAGAGCAAAGTCTTCCTGGATTGGGCATCAAGAAATAGATACCTCTCAGGGAGTCCTCCTCCCTTAATCGCTTCCTAGTCATTTCCCACCTTATATTGATATGGCAAACATTTGAGGGCAGGAAAGAATAAGAGGAGAAATGCTAATGCTACAATTAACATTGACAACCTGTTTGCAGTGTCCTGGTCTGGGGCTGTGTGTGTGTGTGTGTGTGTGTGTGTGTGTGTAGATATATAGATACATATATAGATTACACCTCACATAAGCAAACAATGAGGCAACTATTGTTTCCCTTGTTCCCAGATGTGTGACAACTGAGGCTCAGAAAGGTTATGACTTTTCCTACATAGTTAAGTAGCTGAGCTTGGGCCCTAACTTGATCAGTTTGGACCCAGGGTCAGTTCTTTAGCTGCCACATCAGAGTGCCTCATTTTGGGGGTGCAGAGCAAATGCACTGTTGCCATGCTACCTAACAACTTGGGCAATTGCCAAGGAATCGATGTTTAATAGCTTGCCATCAGAGCTCCTTCAAATACCCACCAAGGCCACAGAAGGATCCAAGTTCAGGATGCTCATTCGCTGTGGAGACTGCAGGCAATGGAACGTCTGATCGTCTACAATTCCACTTTCTTCAGTGTCCACAAAGGTCTGGGTTGTGTGAGGGTCCAAGAAAATCAGCTCATCGCCTGTTTACAAAGACATGTTTAGTCTTTGAAGAACCTCTGGCCCTGGCCCCACTGCTATCCCAAGGATGCACTTTCTCTGACACCACCCATAGCTCTAAAATCCCCTTCCCTTACAACAATGAGAATGGGATGATAGGAAGCCCAAAGCCAGGGTAAGCATGCTTGAGAGAAGCCACATGTGCCAAAATCTAATCAAAGAGACAACTTGACCTAACACATCTTCCCTAAGTCCAAGTCCCAGAATGCAAAGGGATAGGTTTGGGGAAGGTGGGAATGAGAGAACACAGGATGGCATGGCAGGTTCTGTGAGCAGCAGTTGCAAAGAGGTGCTGATAGGAGAATCCCTCAAGTTGGGAGCTCCAATGCTACTAGGGGGCGCACTGCCTCTTTCAGCATTGGATGGCATCTTGAGATACACAGCTGGTTCTCAGAACCAAACTCAGAGAGCATCTCTCATGATGGAAAAAGCCTTGGCCTCCAAAGGAAATTCTACCTGTACACAACAGGAAGCTAAGCTCTGTGGATCAGAACCCACTAAATTGATGCCTATTCATGATTAGCAATTAGCTAGTGGGTTAGTCTTTGTGAGCAGGTCTGTCAGTTCCCATCAGAAAAGACAGCCTTTGTCATGTAAACATTGGTATAGATGAACATCACTGGAAAAAAAGCTACTTGGATTGACTGACGTGTGTGTGTGTGTGTGTGTGTGTGTGTTTTGCTGGAGATCAAACTCAAGAGTTTGTGTATACTGTGCAAGCATTCTACCACTGAGCCAAAACCTAAGTCCAAAATGACTAAGTTTCACACAAAAGAGAAAACCCATGTTTCAGTGAACTGCAAAAGTTCAACCTCAAAATGACCTTGGAGGAGATTGAGATGATAAAATGTCCACCTTGGTCCAATGTTTAAAGGGCAGAAGTTCTTATGCCAATAAGTAGACATAAATACCTCAGGAAACATCTGATCTCACTGTCCAGGCCCAAGGTCATCTGGGTCTCTATGTCCTCAACTCAGGTGACAAAAGATTTACAGGCATCAAAAAAATGTCCCCAAAGTCTTTGGAATTCCATATGGAGGGTGCATCTATGTGATTCTACTGGTAAAGAATATGTTATGGATGCCTGGTAAGTTTCACTGTTCTGTTTCATAGACAAAGACAAACTGCTTAACTCATTTGCCTTTCAAACACTCTCATTTTCAACTGGGGTCATGGGGCCTGTTCTAGTACATTAGATGGTATATAAGAACCAGAAATGATCACCTCTGTGAAATGTATGCAATACAGGATCCATTATAAAGCTATTTTAATGATCTCACTTTGAGCCAGACATATTTACTCACAAATATATAGCTAGGAAGTACGGAAATCAGTGTCCCCGTATGATTTGCCACATGAAAGTCATGGCACAAATTCCTCACTAGATCAGGGTGAGTAAGATCAGTAACCCAATAGCCTCAGATCACACTGAAGAGCAACAACCAAGATGTTCAGCAGAAAGCTTGTCTAAGGCCTTACAAAATGGTAGTTAGAAAGGGAAGTTGGGGACATAAAGATAGACATCCCAAGAGGGATAGAACCTAACCATCCACCAGGGTGCTTGTCATCATATAGCCATAACCTTTCCCCATGAGTGGAGAGGGGAAAGCTTTGCAGGCTGCTTTTTTTCTGAGAGTTTCTATAAGAGATACAGCACAAGACATATGACGTCTAAAAATGGATGTTGAGACTAACTAAGGGTCTCCACTGAGGCCCGTGGAGAACAGGCAGGCTGCACAACCATCTGCACAGATGGGCCTAATGCTATAGATCTCCACATGGCAACCTATACCCAAGAGCAAAGAACAAACAGTTCCTTCTCCCTATACAAGCAAAATCTGACAGGCAGAGTATTAATGTGGCCAGAGCTTCCCACATCTGCATCTTCTCCAGCTGCGCACCTGGCAGGAGGGCCCTGGGGAAAAATGGGAGGTATGGAGGGCAGACAGAGATAACCAAACTGTGATCAAATCCTGATGTTGCTGCTTGTTAGCTGAGTGACACTAAGAAAATAATCTCTCTGAATCATCATTTCACTATGTATAAAATGGAAGTAACAGTCTGTCTCACAGGGCTGATAGTGATGATGAGAAAAGGATGGATGCGTTCAGTACAAACTTTTCCCCAAGAATATTGCTGATCCATGTTTAGACAGATCTATCCATGGGGAACCCACAGACACTAAGATAGTGATGGCCGTATATTTTTGTGTCACTTTGTTTGACAAGGACTCCAAAGTTTAAACAAAGAGGGCATCTGAATGTTCGTAGCTCCAGATTTTCTATTAAGTTGTAATTTTAAGGATGGATCAGTAGATGGCAGCATTGCAGAAACAGAGCAGCTGTGTGGCAACCCCCACAAGAAAGACGGGAACAAAGAGCTAAGGAAAGACACCGGTGGGTGGCTTTGGGTGGGGCCATCTCTCACTGAACACTTACTGTAGGTCTCTTTGCCAAATAGTTTTACCATGAGATGACCTAACAGAGAGTCAAGTGCTGGCTTATTTAAAAGAAGAGAAACATGATCCTGAGTTATCTTTCTCCAGAATTCAAGCCAATATCTAGTAAGAGACTCATGTGCTATGTGTGTTACCATCCCACCTCCTGGTTTACAAAGAATGGTTTGGGAAGATGAACAGCATCCTCTCTGCTTTATTCTCTGTGTATTCTCTCATGGCACTTGCTTACAGATATTCTAGCTCTTCTTGTCTGGCAAGCAGTCTAAGTTCATGGCTGACCACTCTATTTCCAGAAGAGAACGTCCTGTGCCAAATGTCTGTGGCTATATCCCTCTTCTTCTCACAGTGTACAGTATTCATCGGGTATCCGGGTCTGGTTCTTAAATCATGGTCCTCCAGTAGCACTGAAAACCCTTAGAAAAACATGTCTCAGGCCCCATCTTGAATTTAGTGAGTCTGTACCTTAACAGGTTCCAAAAGGGATGAGTGAACAAATGAAGTCTAGATGGACCCTCTAGCATGCCGTGTGCTAAGGGCCTTAAACGTCTCTGGTCAGAGCTAGTGAGTAAGGTGGCAAGATTCCCACCACATGCATACAATGATGAGCTAATCATTAGGGCCCATATTAGGAGGGTAGTAGGTTTGTTTTATTTTTGAGACAGGTTCTCACTATGTAGCCCTTGCTAGCCTAGAACTCACTATGCAGACCAGGCTGACCTCAAACTCATAGAGATCCACTTGTTCCATTTCCCTAGTGTTAGGATTAAAGGTATGCTCTATCACACCCAACTATAGAGGACTACAGAGGTTCGTATTTTTAAGGCTTAGTCACAGAAAAGGTACAACTCTGCCTTTGCATCTTCTAATTCCTACCTAATCATGGTTCTGAATAATAAGACAGAAGGTATATTCAGAGTGACCTGGGAAACCAGTGGATGCTTCAAGGCTATTTCCTGAACTTCAATAGGAAGGATATCAGCAAAGGCAGAGTACTAAAACACAACTGTCCTGGGACTCACATGCAGGAAAGGACCACTCTGAAGCGATGCCGTGACCTTGTGTCTAACCAGAAGAAAAGAGCAAAGCTATCCCATCAAGGATAAGAGGAAAAGAAGTAGAAGCATGAATGGGGACCTGGCATCCATCAAGCACAAAGAAGCAAGAATCACTCTGTATAGGTCAGGTTGGAGACAGAAGGAGCTGATGAGAGGCCACAGTATCCCTAGGCTAAAGCAATGCCCACTCACCGGAACTTCTTACATCCCATGAGCACCTTTGCCCCACACCCTTCCCTAGCCCATGACAACTTACTTGCAACCCATCCTTTCTTACCCAAGAATCCTATGAAATAATAGGCGTTATTTGGCTTTCCTCCTAAAGCCCCTAAAGACTGTGGCATCTTAAAACACTCCTAAAGGGAAAGAGAATGCAAGATTCTCAACTCACTTGTGGACTGCTGCTCACGGATCTCTGTGCTGACATGGCAGTGTGATGGGCAGGCAGCAATGGGCTCGAGAAAAAAAGAGACTTACTTTGAATGCTTCAATATACACAGGATTGATTTGATTTATGCCCAGGCGAAGGGGCACAATGAGCAGCAGGGGTTTCCAAGCTGGGCACATGGTAGAGGGGCCTTTACTCTGATTGGAGGCCGTCAGAGAAGCAGGAGGGCTCTCATCAGCTGTGTTGGCTCCCACAGGAAGAACACAGCACATCTTCTCTAGAAACAGAAGGCAAGAGATCGGGATGAGGCAGGAGTATCTAGCACTAGGGCCTTCACAAAGGTAAAACAGAAAGACCTTGCATGCAGCCCTTCATGCCTGGAAAGGCCCTCTCCTTTGCCACCACGGACCAGTCAGCCCCGTTTCCCACAGGAATGCTATGCTGTTCTTTCAGCTTGTCACTCTTCATATTGGCCACTGAGCACCTGCTTAGTGGCCAACAGGTATTATGGGCCTGTTCCAAGGATCTCATTTCTAAATTAGTCTTTAAGGGCCTTGGAGTCATGGACTGTGTTTTCTGTTTTCCTACCCTTCATGGTAGAAATAGCAGGCCTCTATGATCCATCTACTGTGATTTGACAGATCATACACACTTTCCCTCCTGAAGCAAAAGCCGTGGCACACCTTTGAGAATAAGGTTTTCTGTTTCAGAAGTCTGAAAAGGGAAGAGAGCCACTCTGCTCTCCTGGGCTTCCCTGTCCTTGTGGGGCAGGCCGTGGTTATCTTTCCAGCTCCAGATTTCTGAATTAGAGAAGGGACTGCACCCACCAATGAGAAGGCTAACAATCTATGGACTCACTGATGTCTTCAATGACCACTGTGTTATCCATTGACACATAAACAGCCAAGGAATTCCATTCGTCAAATAAAGCGAGTTTTCTGCGAAGCAACATATAATGAAATCACAACTAGAGAAGATGAAAACATCAGTTGGAAGTGGTACGCTATACTCCCAGCATTCCTAACGTCACCACACACTGAGCCACAGAAAAGCCTGTGTTTGGGTTAGCTCTGGCTTGACAAGAGTTCTGGGAAATTCCATGTCCGGGGATTTGCAGAATACCACAACAGAACCACTGTATCTGAACTTCTAAAAGAAGGTCATGCTTTATAAAATGGAAAACTCTACCTCATCAAATGACAGTATTCCTAGTAGAGGAAAAAGAAATGATATCTATATATCTGTCCTGAAAATTTCAACATATTTTGTTTCCCTAAATAAAAGACATTCTCAATTATTGATTTCCTTAAAAAAGAAAAACAGTAATGCCATTAAAATATATATTGGAGGCTGGTGTGCTTCAGTGGCAGAGTACTTGACTAGCATGTATGAGGTCCTGGATCAATCCATCCATCCATCCATCCATCCATCCATCCATCCATCCATCCCTAGCACCTAAAGTGTGTGTGTGTGTGTGTGTGTGTGTGTGTGTGTGAGAGAGAGAGAGAGAGAGAGAGAGAGAGAATGGGTGTACATGTGAAAGGATGTGTGTGTGTGCACGAGACAGAGAGAGAGAGGAGAGAGAATATGTGTGTGTGTGCATGAGACAGACAGAGAGAGAGAGAGAGAGAGAGAGAGAGAGAAGAGAAGAGAATGGGTGTACATGTGAGAGAATGTATGTGTGTGTGCGAGAGAGAGAGAGAGAGAGAGAGAGAGAGAGAGAGCACAGAGGATGATGTCTTCCCTCAGTTGCTTCTCTACCGTACTATTTTAGTCAGGGTCTCTCACTTACCCTGAAGCTCACCATTTCAGCTAGACAATGACCCTGCGATCCTCCTGTGTCTGTCCCGGAGGGCTGGGGTTGCAGGCGCATGTTCCTTGTTCTTTTCTTATTACATGGTTCCTGGTGATCCAAATTTAAGTTCTCATGCTTGCAGCCAAGAACCTTATCCACTGAGCCATCTCCTCAGCGCTCATTACACTTTTAATTTACTAATTTTAACTCAGCGCCTTTCTCAAAATAACGATGATGCGATTATATGGTCTCTGGTCTCACTTACAATCGTTATTACTACTTTTTTACTTTCGGATGGTGTGGAAGTGACAAACATTCAGCAGAAACCAAACTTTGAATTTTGAATTGGAACTCATTCCCAGGGCTAGTCACACACAGTGTAAGACCCTCTGCCGATGCCGAGCAGTGGTAGGGAGCTGCAACTCCAATCAGCCAGCTGATCCTCAGAGAAAACAGCTCACTTGTTAAGCTGTACTGTTCAATAGTTTACATATAGTAAATACATTTTGATTTCCAAATTATGATGTCTGTCTTTTACTGTGTTAAGAAGCATATGTGCTATTGTTAACAGAGGCAATCACACACACACACACACAAAATCTGAGTATACTTAAATCCTGATGAGAATGGAGATAGATGAGAGAGGGCAAAGGGACAGATGGGACATAAAAGAGGAAAGGAATCTTGGGGGGTCAGGCAATCAGGGGAAGACAAGAATAACCAAGGGTGGGGAGACAGGGGGAGGCAAAGCATAAAACACGTTGATTGCAAATGTCATAATGATATCTAACACAATATGCTGATTTTAACAATAAATTAAAAACGACCTTCCATTTGTTTATTGTTAAAAACCTTAAAATATAAAACATAGAAGAAAGAAAAAAATCTATTTGAAACCAGATTTGGGGCTCAGTCTAGTGACTCTAATATTTTATACATTCTTCTCTGGGTCTGTTCCTACTGCACTTCTGGAATACGGCCAGTTCCTCGCTCAGGAGAGGCAAGGATGCCCAGAAGGTACTCTGACTAAGGCAAGAAAGTGGACTCAGTGAAGCTGCATTGGTATCAGGGAATCAAGCCAAGATACAAGTGTCCCTGGGTCCCAGGAGATCCAGACTACTCACCTCGTATGCACAGCTCCACGGGCTATTCACTGAAGACTGCTTAACCGCTGAATCAAAGCCCCTTCTCTACTTTATACGGAGCCATAATAGACAGGAATTGAAATACACTACACCAAAGGAGGCCTAATGATCTCCATCTTCTGATCCCTACATCTAGCCCCAGGTTCTGGCTGCCAATTTCATTTATTCATTGAGTGCTTACTGGGTGCTTCTATGTAGTAGGCAGTTTTATGGGCCACTGCTACAGAATGAACAAGACAAATACAGGCTGCCCGCAGGGAGTTTTCATCCATTGGCAAATTGTCAGGAAGGAGAGAACTCCAAGTGAGAGAAGATGTGGGTACTGATGACACTCACCCCACTGACACTGTGACCCCTCTACCTCACCTCTTGGTAAAACACAAATTGTGCAATAGAAAATGGCAATTATGAAAGTATCACTTTAAACCTGCTAAGAGATACCAAACTAATCCCAAGACTGCCTTGGGATTGGCATCCTCCAATAGGCAGTCAGTTCATTGAGGCGAGGACTGTGTCTGTTATCTCTGTATACCCAGTACTCAACACAGCAAGGCACCCAGTAAATGCTAAATGAACTAGTGAGGTTTTTTTTTTTAAAAAAAAAATACTTTATTTAGGGGGAGGTACAGTCTATGGTGCGTGTGTGAAGGTCAGAGGGCAACTTGTATGGGTTGGTTCTCTTCTTCCACCATGTGGTGGTTCTCTGCTGCCCATGTCTGATCTCGGGTCATTGGGATTGGCAGCAAGCACCTTTACCCACTGAGTCATCTTCCTGGCTCAGTAGAGGCCTTTATTACTATACAGGATAGGAGTCTATTTCTTGCCTAATCCAGTTAAGCCTCTGGCACTTAGTATGAACCTATTAACTTCAAAAGACCCCACAGGCTGATGGTTCCCTGGCAAATGAACATCCATCTGTAGGACGAGAAACAGAATGAGTCCTGGAGTAGAGCCACCTGTGCTGATACCAGTGACTGCAGCTCTGATATACCAAGACAGAGGCCTATACTTATGCACATCAAAGGAGTATCTGAACAAGATGGTAGAGATGTTTCATGGCTTAGCAGGAAGGATGGGATTGCAAGCATACTTAAGAGGGTAGGAGTTTAGTTGGCTGGGGCAGTGGAAGCATAAAAGCAAGTAGAACAAGCAGGCACCGGACTTTTACTTACTTTAACACCTGTGCAACTGTATTTGGTCCAAACCATTCGCCAATTGATTTCCCTTCTCCTACACCCATTTGTGCTGTTGTGTGTGAAAAAAAATCAACAAGTTAGCAAAATACCTTTCGTGAGCCACAGATTCCTGGTTTTTTTTTTTTTTGGCATGAAAAAGCAGACAGACAACTTAGTGAAGCTCCATATAAGGTAGGGAAGGAAAAAGTTCATAGGCAACAATTGTGAAAATCTACAAAATTTGAACGTACAAATCTGATGATCTTACCCATCTGATGGATCGAATAGCAACAGTCTTTTCTATCTAGGAAACACTGCAGAATCCTTTGGTATTCTTTGGGCTGTTCTTTTTGTTTCTCCCAGTTCCAATCTTTTGCAGGGAGAGGGGATAAAAAAGGGTTAAAATCAGCCGTAACTGTTATAACCCGGCAATAAATTAAAAGGAAAACAAGAAAGCTACATTGAGGAGGTAGGCTGGTGAAGCTGGCATATTTCTGAGTATCTTTCATTTAGATAGCAGATGCTGCAAAACTGACTTCTATAGATGTGGTGGGGATAAAGTGAAAGCCAGGGCTGGGGAATGGCTAAAAGCTGAGGATGGAATTGAATACTGAACTTGCCCCAAGGGCTGGAGCTGGCCAGCAATTACATATCAACAGTGTCACAAAGCTATTTTCTGGCAGCTATGCTGCAAGGATATAACCCAGACGCCATAGTGTCTCATCTCTACAGTGGCTTTTGTCCTTCCATTCTGGCAGTATTGCCAAAGGGTCTCATGATGGGAAATGCTATTCTGATATATGAAAGTTTATGTGGAAATAATAGACACAATTCACTGCTAAGGAAGTGTTTTTAAAAATTGTATATTGAGAAGGGAGAGAAAAAAATCTTATAATATCAGCATTCAGAAGGTTGAGGCAGAAAAATTTCGATCTCATCACCAGTCTAGACTATATTGTTAGTTCAAGATTAGCCTAAGCTATAAACAGCAAGACCTTTTTTTCAACAGAACAGCCAACCAAACACAAAGCAGGAGGCAGATGATTCCATTGGTAAAACAATGGCCAGCATGAGGACCAGAGTTAGAAACCCAGCACCCATGGAAACAGCTCAGTGCAGGAGTAGTATGCACCATAACGCAGTGCTGGGGAGAGAGACAGGAGGATCTCCAGGGCTTACTGACCAGCCAGTCTAGCCAGGTCAGGAAGCTCCAGGTTCAGTGAGAGACCCTGTCTAACAACTAAGGCCTGAATTAATGACTTTGGCCATGTACATGAGTCTACAGGATCATCTTTGGATCCCTCAGCTCCCTTCTGTTTCTAGTTTCTCTGAACCCAAAGTCTTAAGCTTCAACTCTATCATATCCACTAGGACAAACCACAGCCAACTTATTTCAATAGCTACTCAACTATCTGGTTCTGGGGAAATCTTGATTAATGGGTAGCTAAGGGCCACCAAATACTTTTTGATGACTGTCACATGAATACCTCATCTTAATTGTAAAGTGACTGAATAAGAAAGAACCCAAAATCCTTACAAAATTACCTCTTCTAATTTACTTTAACTACAAGCTCTATCCAAATCCTCCCTGCTATTTGCTTTTCTGCTAAGCAAGAGTAACTGATAACTGTGCAGATTTTTCCATCAAGTCCCCTACTTCAAGAATTCACTTTCAGAACTAACTCACCTTCAAGATTTTAAAAAACAAATTAAAAGGGGTAGCAAGAAAGTTCAGCAGCTGAATGTGCTTGGTTCCAAGTCCAATGACCTGAGTTTGGTATCCAGGAGCTTCATGGTTGAGACAACTGATCTCCACAAGCACACTGTGGTACAGAGAGCATGCACGCACACACACACACACACACACACACACACACACACACACACATGCACACGCACACACACACACAGTAAATAAGTAATAAAAATAACTAGTAAGGATGCAACTGGGAAATAAAATTAAGCCAATCTCACAATGATAAGTATTGCAAGTTTTCTCTCATATGTGGAATCTAGGGAGAAGAAAGTGAAGCATGAAAATGAAAGAGGGATTATGGGGGACAGTAAGAGGGGACAAAGGAGGAGGGAAGGAGGGATAAGGAATGGCAATAGAGGGTCTAGAGAGATGGTGGTTAAGGGCACTATGCTGCTTTTGTGAAAGACAGAAGTTTAGTCTCCAGAACACAAGTCAGATAGCTCACAACCATCTGTAACTGGAGTTCCAGGGCATCAACACCCACTTTTAGTCTCTGTAGGCACTACATTCATGCACACATATGCAAATCCACATACATACATACAAACATAATATTAAAAACTAAAAACAATTTTTTTAAAAAAGAAATGGCAATAGAGAAACTATAGTCAAAATACAATGTATGGAAATGTCACAATAAAATCTACTACTTTGTACAATTGATATATGCTAACAAAATGCAGATTTATCCCTTAAAACAATAATAAGTCTAGCTTAAGAAGTATGTGTAGTATACTTGCTGGACACAGAATCAAAGTATAAGCATTTTAATCTCACATCTAAGCTGCTTGCCCTTGGGCAAATCACCTCGCTGCCATGAGCCCCAGTTTTCTTGTCTGTGGGCTAGAAATGATGACAGTACACAGAGAAAACAATCCCAGCAGGAAGGCAAGGAGCTGGAAAACCTCCCCCAGCACTTTGCAGATCCTCTCTAAAAGCTGCCACAGGACTTGTGAGTCTGCACAGTGAGATTAACAACAGCCAGCAAGCTCAGCAGCTTGGTAGCATGGGAAACTGGACTTTTACTCTGGTGTCCATCTAAGACCATCCTCCAGAGGTCCATGAAGAAGCATGCATATGTCACAGAGAAAATAAGAATAACCAGAAGGTTCTTAAATAGTGAAGCTGCCTCCTGAGAAAGCTAATTTAGGGATTTATTCATTATCAAATGGACATACGCAGGGAACCAAAACCAAAATAGTACTGGCTTCCTCATTAAGCACTTCCTTTAGGTCATTTATATCCTGAGCTACATGGGTATTTTAAAAAGAGTTCAGAAACAGACTAATCACCACACCCTTCTTCCTGTTTTCTTTGTTATCTTCTCATTTTGTTTTGGTTGTTTGTTTTGTTTTGTTTATTGAAACAGCGTCTTGCTCTGTGGTCCAGGCTGGTTGGAAACTTAGTATGCAGGCAAGGCTAGCCTCAAACTCACAGCAGCTCTCTTACCTCAGCCTTCTGAGTGGGAGGACTTTAGGTGTGAGCCACCATGGCCACAGCTTTTCATTTGGTTTGGTTTGTGTTTTGAGACAGGGTCTCTCTAGGAAGTTTTGGCTGTCATGAAATTCTCTGATAGACCAGGCTGGCCTCAAACTCACAGAGATCGGCCTACCACTGCCTCCTGAGCACAGACAGGGTTGCCACCATGCCCAGTTTAGGGTCACAGCTTTTTTTTAATCTGACATTTTCAGGACCCATTCAAACAGCAGTAAAAATGGAAATTTTAAATGACACATCTGCCCCAGGTTAGTTCTGTCCCTGGAAATAACTCTTGCTTGGTGAGTCATAAGGAAGTATCAGCTAGTTCCTTCTCATGATGGGCTTGGTTGACTTTTCAGCCCAACACTTGAGCTGTTACAAGGCAATTTAGGATCTGCAGTCTCGTTACTGAATGTTCTTAAAGCCCAGCAGCAAGTGATATGGCAGATGTCTCAGAAACCATTTGTAGACCAAATGGAACTCACCCCTTCCCAAGTGTCTACAGATAAGGGCTTGGGCCAGCATCATCTGTCCACAGCATAGCATACATCCCCAGCCAGCATCAGATGAAGGACCTGTTCCCCCTGTTGGCAAAATGGATGGGCATGAAAATGTGTTTCTTAAATTAATCTTTTCGCGATCATCAGCATGCTTGAAACTACAAACACATATACATATACACGAATTCTGAAAAGAGAGACAATGTATTTAGAGCTCATGTGGGATTTGAATATAGGAGTGGAACTTGTAAAGATAATGCTGAATCAAAGGAAACAGAGTCTACAGTCAAAGACAAAGCAAACAAATAACTAAGCAAGCCCCCTTGGGTTTCTTGCTTGAAGACTTCAGAGTATGCATGCTATTTTGGCAAGTAACTATCACAGGTAACTATCATCAAGGAGATTACCTTGACTAAAGCACAAATACTACCACCGAGGGTGGACATCAAAATGATCAAAGACATATGAAAGGCTCTTGACTAGTCCAAATGTATTTAATGAAGTTTACTACAACAACAAATAAATGAAAGAACCCTAGATTAGGCAGAAGACCAATACAAGCTAAATCTCAGCTATACGTTGAAGATAATAGCATATACTCTACCTATTATCGGTGGACATTATAAGAATAAATGAGAAAATATTTCACAGTTATAGAACCCACAAAGGATACTTGGTATCGTGAGTATGGTCTTATATAAAATTCTATTAATACGTTACAAATGTATTACATCTTTAAAAAATATAAAGTCAGTTAATAAATGAGACAATGGGTGTCATTTGAAGGAGATTTGATATAAAGTAAAAGTCAAACATGTGTACAGGATGAGGTCTACTAGGGTTTTATTCAAAAGGCCCAACATAATCAGATAACTTGATTTTCTTTTCCACCTCAGAAGCAGAAGTCTTCTGAAGGTATGATCCCAGAAGTCTAGTTCCGAAGAAGTGAGCACTCTTGTGCAACAGGTGGGCCAAGCTATTCTCCTGCATCCCAACCCCTTTGTTGTAGGAAGTGGAGGGGCACTGCCATGTCAAGACTAAGGGAGTGTAGATAGATTTCGGAGCTGGAGGAGCGCCCTTGGGCTATTGCTAACGCTAGGATTGACGTTATATTAGTGCAGGAAAGGTAGGGTGAGGCCCTCAAAAGAACAGATCAGCTCTTTCTAAACACTGTCAGAGTTGACTAAAGAATTGTCCAGCTTTGCAAAGGTCTCTTCCCCCAGTGAACATTAGCAGTTTAGAACCCCAGAATACTAAAGATTAGTCTGCTATGATACTACTACTTAAAAAGCAAAGAAAATGTTTGGGTGGACTTCAGTTTGGGCCCAGCACAGAAAGGTTAATTTCACTCCTATTACTAGGTCCAACCTTGGTCTGACAAGCTGTTCTTTAGGAAAGTAACTTCCACCACTTATAGGACTCTTTCCCTAGCTTTCCATGCTCCTAAGGCATGGCTACACTGCTCACAAATGCTTTACAAATCCTTTTAATTATCAAACTATCCTTTTCTTTTTCCCTAGATGGCAGCTAGGAATTCTAAGGAAATCTGTCTCAATTTGTCTCTGAATATCAAAGTGCTTTCATTTCACGAGAAAATAATAGGAGGAACTATTTTCTTTCCTTCAGGGCCTAAGCCTTTTTTATGGTCAAATAGCACCATATGGCAGTGAAAGGCAATTTAATAGTTAGATATTACCCAGTGAAAGCTTATTTGATTCTTTAAATACCATCTGTTGCATGAACACTTAAAGGTGGGCCAAAATTACTACTGGTTTAACACTACAACACCATGGAACCACACGTGATGGGCTACTTCCACAATGACATTTTGGGATGAAATGTTAAACTTACCTGCTCCCCTAAATCAAATTCTTTGCCACAGTGAGCTGTTAATTCTGAGGTTTCTGTGATGTCATTGATAACCTCAAGCAAGCTATCTACAAGAAGGAAAGCACAGCACAACAAATGATATACCTACCAATCGGTGAAAATTTCCTTCTGTATGTAAACCATAGACGAGCACTTATATCAGACAACAGCTTAGATTTTTCTGTAATTAAATGTGAAATTAAAATTAAATCATCATATCCCATCTTAAAAAATGCCTATATTTGACTTCTACATCAGCAGCAAGCTTACTTTCAGATAGCCAATCAAGTTGATTGTTATAGAACTAGGGGAATTCACAGGAAACCTAATACCATTTGAGCCTACTAATTTCAATACTTCTCTTTACCTTCATTTTCACCAGAGCTATTCTACAGGTTCTTCTAATGATATGAGATACTTCCTGTCTCCTTCTCAAAGATTTTCAGGATCCTGAAAGGTATTAGCACTGAGGTCATGCCTAAACGACAAGAAATAGGAAAAGCAAGTATCTTCTATAATCCACTAAGGCAACTGTCTCTAGCCTAAAGGATGATAGTATCAGTGTCCATCGCCTATTATCTAAAACTAGGAGTTCATATGTTTGGAAGAGCTTCATGTGTAGGAAAAGGGGTACAAATGCATACATTTAACTAAAACAGAAATGCTCCTACTAACTGCATAGGAACTTTATCCATAGTATCTAGTGCCCTATTTTCATGTAAGTGAATGGATAATATCACAAATACCTTGCATACCTTTCCAAAGCTTATTTTGCGTTCTATGGTGCAAATTCGCTTCAATCACTACAATTATGGCTTCTGCATTCCCTCCTGTACTTGGGTATGGCTCTGTCTTCTCTAGTCGTCTCTCTCTCTCTCTTAATGTCATATATGCATATGTGAATTTAGTATAGAATTTATAGTCATTGTGTTTTCAAAAGCAGAAGGGAAATTTAAATTTTACTGATAGTTTCTAATTCCATCTTTTGGAACAAATCAAAAATTAGAGTTGTATGTATTTCTTTGTCCCCAGCACTTAGCCCCCATTTTGAGAGATGGACAATGTTCCAGAGTAAGAGTTCTTGGACTTTGAAAAACAGCTCAGTGGTTATGCTCTTCTAGGAAACCTGGTCTCAATTTCCAGCACCCACATGGTGGCTTACAACCATCTGTAGCTCCATTTCAGGGCATCTAATGCCATCGTCTGGCCTCCTGGTACACAGACCTGAATATAGGCAAAATACCTATATACATAAACTAAATAAATAAAGTTTAAAAAATGTTGAGTTCTCTTGTCTTGTCTTTTTAAGCACCACCCCCAACAGGGGCTCATGTACCCTACAATGGCTTCAAAATTTCTGAGGATGGTGGTAAATTTCTGATTCTTTTGTTACTATCTTTCTTTTTTCTTTTTTTAAAAAATGTGTAGCCCAGGCTGGCCTCGAACTCGTGATCCTCCTGCCTCTGCCTCCTTCAGCAAATCCTACTGGTGTGTGCCACCACAACCAGCATTCTGTCTCTAACTTTCTAGTGCTAAGCAAACAGGCATGGCCACCAGCCCCAGGGTCCTGGGGATTGAATCCAACACTTGGTACATGCTAGGTATTCTACCAAGTGAGCTATATCCTCAACCCAAGAGTATAGTGACACATTCTTCTAATCCTAGTACAAAAGAGTCTAAGGCAGGAGAATTTCAAAGTCAAGGCCAGCTTGAGCTACATATTGGAACCTTGTAGCAGGGTGAGACTTAACTTGGGTCTGCTACTTACTGTATATAGAAATTGATCACTCAATGTTTCTGAGCTTCTGTTTTCTCATCTATAAAATTAGGAGTAGCAATACCTACTTCATTAAGGATATGCATATTCAAGAAGATAATTCACATAAAGTCAAAATATACATACACACATATATATACACATTTATAAAGCACTTAGTTGATATCTAGTATGTTGTAAGTCTATGCCAAATGTTGCTATTTTTATATGCCTGACCCTTTAAACGTTCACACAGATCATTCTTGCCTCTTCAGCCCCTATAGCTTCCAGCTTGGCTCTATGCTAGGGAGGAATTCAGCAAAATATTCAATTTGCAAGGTCTTTCCCAGCCAGGCATAGTGCCAAATGCCCGTGATCCTAGCACTTGGAAGGCCGAAGCAGGAGGATGGCTGTGGATTTGAGGTCAGCCTGGTCTACATAGTGAGTTCTAGAGTTCCAGGTAAGCTTGAGCTATGGAATAAAACCCTTCTCAAGAAAAAGAAGGGAGGGAAGACATTTGCAAATTTAATATCTGAATAAGGGCATACTCCACATCCTAGATTTTTCCTGTTGTTTGGAAAGTAGAACTATAAAAGGTCCTCCCCAACCCTTCACTGGAAGTCCTGGAGAAGGAAGGGACAGTTTAGAGAGAGAAAGTCCCTTTTCAAAGTCTCCCAAATGGGCGCAATGGTTCTCAACTTTTCTAGTGCTGCGACCTCATGCTGTGGTGACCCCCAGCCATAAAATTATTTCATTGTTACTTCATAACTGTAATTTTGTTACTGTTATGAACCATGAACCATAATGTAAATATCTGGTATCCAGGATATCTGATATGTGTACCCTATGAAAAGATCATTTATCCTCCAAAGGGGTCATGACCCGCAGGTTGAGAACCATTGGGTTATGAAGCTAAAGTCTCACAATGGCTAGCTTTGTGATCTCTCCACTGTTCACAATTTTCCAATAAAACACTGGCGCAGAAAAGGGCAAGGCCTAACTTCTTCGCCTGCCCTTTGATCAGCTTCCTCCTATCCTTTATGCTATGCTAAGGGCTTCTGTAGATCTCCCCTTGGGAAGTAACACATCCCAGAGCTGCCCCTTTCCCATCTCAGGCACTAGGCCTTCTCTATCCTTTAAGAATGTGTGTGATAAGTAGCCGGGCAATGGTGGCGCACGCCTTTAATCCCAGCACTTGGGAGGCAGAGGCAGGCGGATCTCTGTGAGTTCGAGACCAGCCTGGTCTACAGAGCTAGTTCCAGGACAGGCTCCAAAGCCACAGAGAAACCCTGTCTCGAAAAAAAAAAAAAAGAATGCGTGTGATAAGTGGGAAAGCTCAAGCCTCCTTTCCATCTACTACAAGTAACTAGAAGTTATATACAGAACCAGAATCAACTAACTAGGGCACTGCAGTCATCACAAGAAGATCTAAAGCAGAAGGTTTCTTGTGTCTGATATTGTTTCTGACAGCCGTGGCTTATGTGGAAGTTCCCAGGTGTTTTGTCTAGAAGCACAAAGACATGATAAGAATAAGAAATATAGAGCCCGATGACTAGATACTGCTTAGTAATAATTACTATGAATGATTGCATTTGTTTTTGAGTCCCAAAGTCTTCAGGAATGGGACCGGAACTTCCTTACAGAAAAGAATAAAAATATACTGCTTTTGTAAATCATGCCAACAAAATCCTTTGTAAATGTTTGGCTAAGGCCTCTTGGGGCCTTAGAAGGAACTATGCTTAACAAGTGATGTAGTATTAGCCCTTAGCAAGACAATGTTTAGTCAACCCTAGAAGGAAAATGAGGCGCCCTTAACCCCAGGCACCCCTGGCACCCGCTTTAGCTGGGGCCTCCCTGATCAGTGCCGCCAAACTTACCTGTCTTAAGAAGATGCTGCTTTCCCAAGATCCATACCAGCTCGTCTGTATCCGGGAATTCTTCTAGGTAGTCAGTGAAAATAGTAATCTGGTTTTCATACTTGGACATAACTAAAGGAAAAATGAACGAATGTAAACATAATCTCATAGCTAGGGCTTACTCCTGTGATTCGCCGATTTCTACCTTTGCCCTGAAGTTAAAAGGTCATCAGCTTGACTCTAAAGGAGTATTTCAATATTTAAATAAATGGGTAGATAGCAAGCATTTTACTGAGCCACATCCTCAGCCCTTCATATTTCATTTGACCTATTTCTCATGGTTCCATTTAAAATGATGTTTGAAAAGCCACATGCCCAGAATTGTTTGAAAACTCCTTTCACAGGCCTCCTTCATAAGCACCCACTTATCTAGCTTCTCCCCACAAAAGCAGACCAAGGTAAGACAGTTATGCTGGCACGCTTGGCTCCTGTCTGTTCTCAGGGAATACTACGGGGTTTATATGGTGAGGTTTCTAGCAGCCAAGGCCTTGGAGGAGGCTGTGACACGCCCCGAGAACATACAATTGTTGGGATGATAACATTGTAGCTAGAAGACTAGATCGTTTTAACGTGCTTTTATTTTCCATCATACATATGGCTCCCACAAAGAAAGCTCTTGAGGCTGATCATAAATAGAACCTGTTCTTGGGATTCACAAATGAGCATTGTGTTGTTGCGATATAAAAAGAACTATATATTTGCTCACTGCCCCCATTTTCTGGCACACAGCTTTGAAAATCCCTGTAATTTCCTGAGCACCGGGATGTCAGATGCATCTCTTTTCTTGTTCTAGTATTTGGTCTCCGACCCCAGTTCCAGACATGGAGATCTTAATCCCTTAGAATTTCATGGGTAATAAGAGTGTCTTCATTTTTAATAATTTAATCATTCTTGGTAAGCACTCAGATGGGTCCAGTCACCTGGAAGACTATGCAGCGATTATAAGCATGGAAGTTTCATTCCAACTCCCATCCTGCAGGAAGGGGAGAGAGGCTAGAGCCCGAGTCAAAAATAGCTCCTGCTTACATGATGAAGCTTCCATAAAAAATTCCTGAGCACCAGTGTTTGGGGAGGTCTGGTTATGTTAAACACGTAATGGAACCTGCAGAGGAAACAGAAGCTTCTTGCCTCTCCCACTTCCATACATATCTTCTGTCTAGCTATTTATCTGCATCCTTTGCAATGTTTTTTAAAATAATAAATGGGGAAATATCAGTAAGTACTTTCCTGAGCTCTGTGAGCAACCCTTGCAAATGATTAATCCACAAGCGGGGAGGAATGCAAGACAGTGGTCAGAGGAACTGCACTTTATTGCCAGTTAGTCAAAAGAAGAGGTCACAACTGATAGCTCCTGTGGGCAGTTGTGTGAGACTGAAATCTTAACCTATGGGATTGGACCCTGACCTCAAGCAGACGGACACTGTAAAATTAAATTAAATCAGCAGAGACACAGCTGATGTTGCTAAGGAACTGGTGTGTTGAGAATCCACCCCTCCAGACCAATATGCTTTCAGAGGTGCTGAGTGGTGGATGTGAATAGTAAAAGCCAGTTTTCCTATTACATTCGGCTACAGTCATCTCTCAACCAAGTGAAAACAAGCTAAATCCCATCTGTTCTCAGGCTCTACTGTGAGAACTTACAACTCTGTGATCTGAGAGGTACAAGTTCACAGTCACTTCTGCAGGAGGGAGGAACATGTGGGCTAAAAGATTCAAGACTGACTTGAATCAGACTTGGAGAGGTCCTGCCTCCAAACTGTTTTTAAGTAATTTTCTTCTGAGGCAATAGTAATAATATAGGTGGTGAACAGGTTCCTAAGACAGCATGTCAAAATCTGTTTTAATCTGTAACCAGAAAAACATAAATTGATAGCTATAGTTCACAATTTATGGTTCTATTTGCATGAGAAAATGCACTGTGAGCCCAAAGTAAAGACATCCCATCTCGCGGCTTTTGAAAGCTCCCAGCCCCTCCCCAAAAGGAAACTAGGAGAGAATAGGGACCCTTTTGTTCAGCTACAAGTAGCTACAAGGACCCTCCCAAAGCAGTCCCTAAGCGTCCCTTGGGTGGATTTTCCTGTGCGAGTCGCACTGGCCCTGTGGGGTATGCTGAAGTCACTTGAAAGGTCAGATTCTTTGCCTTTTGTTTTCTAAATCAGAATAGTGCTGTCTTCGCAGAAATAAATACTCCAAAGGAGAAAGGAGACCTTGCCAAGCCTGAAGGCAGGTGTCTCTGCTTAGCACATTTTGTTGGAGTTTGAAGTCACAATCCATGCAAGCACTTTTAGAAACATAGTTAAGTAAGAGTATTTTCTTGAAACATTATAGAATTCTCAGCTTTCAGGAATGTAAGTAGCCTTTCTCCGTTGGTTTGTTTTCATTACTAAGATTACAGTCTCTGTAGTGTTTCAAACCTAAAGAACTTAGCCACGAGACGGCTATCTCATTCCCCAGAGAGCATTCTGCCAGAGAACCTGTGCCCTCTTAACCTCTCTGCCTCTGGCCTCAGGCCCTGGCCCCCACACAGGAAATACCAGGCTAAAAATGATCATTCAGGTCAAGCCCTTCCCAGGGGCTGGTGGGTGACAGAGGCAGGGTAAATCACATGGTGTACCTCTCTGCCTCACCCTTAGCCCGTTACAGGCAGGAACAACCAGGTGGAGATGAACAGCCAGTGTTCTTCCACAGAAAGAGAGAGACTTTTTTTTAAGGACCTTGAGAGGAGCATGGGGAAATGAGAGCTTCTTGGACACCCAGGCAAGAGTGAGGACAGGGGACACTGTATCAATGCACAGCGTGGATGCATGGAAGCCTTGGATCTGTTTTTAGTATGGCCCAAAGGAAAGGATTGCCAACTCTGCCACAATGAGTCACCGGCCAGCTATCTGGTCACTTTGGTGCAGCCCTTTTAGAGTCCACGGCAACTGCCCTGCTTCATTTAGGATGGCTCCGAATAAAATGGGAGCCAAAGAATTTTACTCTGGCTCTTCACCCATTCTCAAGCTGTGCTAGGCCTGCAAGAAGGTCATTATAGCTTCTATTTGTATCCTTTCTCCTCTCAGAAGACAGACTCCCAGAATGCAGCATGTCTGCCGCAGTAAATCCTGAGCCAAGGCTGCGCATATAGAACAAACAGAAGATGAGTTTAGCAGAAAAGGCAGAAGGGGCCCAGAGTTTCTATCTCTAAGTGCACATGGGAAAGGAAAAATAGGACCAACACCAGGAGTACTCAGACAGAGGAAAAAGCCACCTGAGAAGTGCTTGAGGTAGTGACAAATAATCTCATTTCTGACACAGTTGCCTCGGACTACCAGCAAACCCTTTAACTCACCTCACTCCACCAACTCCACTTGGCTAGCCCTTCATGTTTAACACGATACCAAGCTTATCCTGCTCTTTCAGGCTGTTTCCAGGTGAGGATACAAACATGCCATTTGGTTGACCAAAATTAACTGCTAGTAGGTCTAAGGGAAAATAAACTCCACCTTGTTGGAATAATTTTTGTACTGACGTCTCTACTGGATTAGCTTAATGATTAAACCAGGATTTCCTTTAAGTCCAGGGCGCAAAGTGCCTCCGATCCTTGACCAAGGGGAAGCTATACATATGTTAGGGTATGTCTTCACCTCCAACCCAGTCAGGAGATCTCTCTGTCTTCTATTTTCTGCTTGTGTAAAGCTCAAGAATGAGAAAAATGTGTCCTGAAAATGCATACAGCCTTGGGAATGTAACAGCCCTGAGTATACATGTGTTTTCTAGATTCTCAGGACTATCTTAAGCTTTTAGAAATCCCCAAGGTATCTTAGCCCTCTGTTTTTCCTTGGAAGCTTTCTGGTTAGTTAGCTGAAAAGGTTATCTACTGCTTCCAGCAACTGAAAAATTAATTGTGTCTAATGGTTTAAAAAACAACACTCTGGGTAAAAGGCTTTCTGCAACGCAGAGATGAGGTCAAGTAAATAAGACTTCTAAGTGGGGCCTTCCAAGGAAGGACTAGACAGAGGACATGAGGATAGTTCTTTAGCGAGGCAGCTGGCGTTTCTGGGACTAAACTGTTGATTTTCAAGGATATTCTAGCTACAAAGTACAAGGCCAAAGACGGGGCCAGACAAGAACTACCACAAAGTTCCTCTTCCCAATATGTTGTTGGTTTTCTTGGTTGCATGGACCCTGAATTGGTGCAAGTCTTTCGTTTCCAGAATTCTGAACACATTGACTGACATCTGCTGCCTTGTTTTCGGAGTTTTTGTTGATATTGTTGTTGTTCCATTGTCATTAAGGAGAGAATTTTCAAAAGCCCTTGTTCTGCCATTTTTGCTGATGTCATACTTTTCCCAGGGAATGGCTATATTTTTGCAGGGTTGTTTTGGAAAATCACAAGTAAATGAAAAAAGAAGATTGCCTTGAAAAACAAGATGTCTTTTACTACAGTTTAACAAAGACCCTTACAAAAGAAGGCTCCAAGATACTGTGAACCTTGTGCTAAAGAAAGAAATACCACAAGCTCTCGAAAAAGGCTACAGAGTCTCAGGGCCAGGAGGGATTTGTGATAGAGGTTAACTCCTTGCAGGTTCCTTTTTCTAACTGCAAGCAGGGACTGTTGGCTCCAATCAGCCTCCTCAGCAATGCATGCATATTTAACATACTGCTAGGTCACATCTTCAAAATCAAAGCATTCACAGGAGAAAACACATACACACAGCTCATTCTATAAACTCTACAGGGTGCCTTCTATGTGCTGGGCATGAAGAAAAGCTAATCAGTGAGATACAGCAATAGTCTTTCGAAGGTTTTTTGAATCTACAAGGGAAGATGGTTCTGGAATCAGCTAATAGCAGGATGTAGAGCATATAAAGTATGGTAGAAGGTAAGAAAAAGAAAGGACACAAGGCCAACTAGGGTGTGGATGGACCATCTCAAGTTTAAGAGCACATATGTAGTACTTACAAACTGGGAAGCTGGGGCTATATGAACACACAGGCATATTAAAAGTATACCAGAAATAAAAGACCCAAAACTTATCAAACTCACCAGACAGGCAACAGGTGCAAGACCTGCATCTAGACCCTGAAGGACACCTAGTACTGCTATGACAACAGCCTCTAGTGATGCAGACCACTGATCACCTGGGATGTTTGTCAAGGTACTAGCAGGTACTTGTGACTGTCCCCTGGGCTTCAGCTCAGCTTGGTCCCTACAGCTACTCACATTGCTGTCCATAACTCTGTTAATCCATCTATTAGACCTTGTCTCTATGGTTCAACTTAGTCCAGCCTGAAACCCCTGCAGCTCAACCCTGCAGCCCTACAAGTCAACTTTAGCAGCTTGCCAACTGGGTACCTGATCTTACCACTGAAGGGATGTTCTTTGCATGTGCACTGGATCTCTACCTGTCTCCAGTGAGAACTTTTTGAAGCCCTTGAACTCTGCTCCAGCCTTTTCAATACTTCTGTAGCTATCCTATAACCTTCATACATAAAAATAGAATTACCACTTGTTGTGTAATGTATGCTCTGAGATTTAATATTAGTAATTAATATTATAATAAAACCAGGGCTACTTGGCAAACTGTAGCCAGCAAGCTACCAGTATAACTTACGAATTTGTTGTTGTTCAATAAATTCTGATTTTGTTGAAAGACATAAACATGTCCATCTGTTTCTCATATAGCACACTCACAACAATGACAATAAGATAGAAGCTGTAGTGGGGAAGGGAGGAACTTCCTGGTTGAGGAAGCACTGAGTGGACTTGGCAAGCAACTCGGTGTAGGGTGGGGCAGGTGAAATCGAGAGACTAAAAAATAACTTGTAGCTTTCAAGTGTGAGTGATGAGATGTTGACAGAAAATACAGGAGTGGGTGGGTGGGTGATAAGAGTGGAGAAACCACAACAGTTTAGACTCGTAGGCATGGTGCCAAATTTCAAAAGGGAAGGAGAAGCCCACCTACAAAGGAATTTTGAAAAGAAGCACAGTAGATGGCAGGTTAATTAAAAAGGCCTAGAAGTCAGAAGAAAAATCTAGAACACCAAAATTCTGGCACATGGCAGAATGTGCCTTCATTTCCTTCTGCCTGGGTTTATTTATTGCTCTGGTCTCCCCTAGTCTCTGCTGACTTCGGCAAAGGTCCTGCCCCTCTTCATTTATTTCCTTCCTTGTGTCTGACTCTTCCGGGTCTAACAATCAAGAAGTTAGAAAATTTTAAACTGAACAAAGATGAGTGTAGCTCTGGCCATAGCACCATGTATGTTTGCTGAGAAGAGGGCAGCACACTGGATACATGGATGCAGAACAATATGTAGTGGCCATATAATGTAAGACCTGAGGCCCCTCTTCCACAATAGAGGTGAGAAGACCTTGATTCTTCACGCTTTCTCCATCCACTCAGTCGCTGCCACATGCAGTGGGTTAAAAGTATCCCACCTCCATGCTCCATTATACCAGTAACACTGGACAAGTCAAACCAAGCTAGCACAGTTGTAATCCTCAAAAACCGAGCTCATGATTCATGCAGAAAAATGAAACGGACACTGTCCAGTCAAATGGCATGTTAACTGGTTTTCTGATCCTCATCTATGATTCTCTGGGATTTTCCATACCTGCCATGGTAAAGAGAAGGAAGTTCTGTTGGAAATGGTCCTAGGCTAGAAACTCCAAAATGTAAGCTGAACCCTCATGCTGCCATTTCACTTAACCTGTGACCTTGGAGGATCCACTGCACTTCTTTGGACCTCAGACTCTACTTTAAAATGTATGATGTATTTTTCAAACCCTCAGGTCATACTTCATCAAGGGTTATGAAATCTACATAGTGTGATGTAGTCAGTGCTTTCGGTGGACATGGCCACACCTTGACAAGGATTGATTAGACATGCATATCCATGACCTCAAATAAAACTTTGATCTTACTTTAGGCCCTCAAAGACAGACTTGTGTGTTTGGTGAATGTCTTTTTCCCTCTTCCCAGTGTGGCCACATTGAATCAATCTCCTTTTCCTGCTTTCCACTTGAAAAATAAATAAATAAAATTGAGAGTTGGAGAGATGGCTCAGTGGGTAAAAGCAATAAAGTTTGAGTCCCTAACACTATAACAACAAAAATAAAGCAAGGCATGGTCTTGCTTGCTGTAATCTCAGTTTTGGGCTATGGTAGTTGGGGGAGGCAGTTGTGGAAAGATAGGCAGATCCCAGGAGCTCACTGGCTGGCCAATCTAGGCAAAAGATTAAAGTTCAAGTTAAACTACAGACTCTGTTCCAAGAGAATAAGGCAGGCAGCAATAGAACAAGACATCAAACATCCTCCATATCTCTATACGCACATGTACAGACAAGCATATAACACACAAGCCCCACACACAAACAAGAAGTGAAATTAAATATCACAGAGGGAATTGGCTGATTCTGCTTACATTTATATAAACTAGATTACAATCTAAAATGTATTTTTCATAGTGTGATGATCAAGGTTAGAAAGGTTAGAAAAAACTGGAAAGCCACTTGTCCAATACAGTAGCTACACATGCTTTTTAAAATTAAATCAAGATGTTTTGAATGTAGCTCAGTGAAAGGTAAGGTGTGGGGCCCCAAGTTTAAGCTTCAGCACCAACTTAAAAATCAGGTCTTCGCTTCTGCATTGCTGGTGAGTGTGTAAGCTGGTATAGCCCCTTTGGATGTCAGTGTGGTGATTCCTCAGAAAATTAGGAAACAACTTTCCTCAAGACCCAGCAATACCACTTTTGGGTATATATCCAAAGGATGCTCAATCGTGCCACAAGAACATGTGCTCAACTATGTTCATAGCAGCTTTGTTTGTCATAGTCAGAACCTGGAAACAACCTAGATGCCCCTCGACTGAAAAATGGATAAGGAAAATGTGGTACATTTATACATGGGAGTACTACACAGAAGAAAAAAAAATAACGAGACCTTGAATTTTGCAGGAAAATGGATGGAGCTAGGAAACATCATTTTGAGTGAGGTAACCCAGACACAGAAAGGCAAGTATCATATGTGCTCACTCATAAGTGGTTTTTAAACATAAAGCAAAGAAAACCAGCCCACAAATCACAATTCCAAAGAACTTAGACAACAATGAAGACACTAAGAGAAACTTACATAGATCTAATCTACATGGTAAGTAGAAAGTAAAAAAAAAAAAGACAAGATCTCCTGAGTAAGTTGGGAGCATGGGGACCTTGGGGGAGGGTTGAAGGGGGAGGGGAGAGGCAGGGAGGGAACAGAGAAAAATGTAGAGCTCAATAAAAATCAATAAAAAATCAATTCTTCATAGCACTAAGCTACATTTCAGTCACTCAAAACGCACAATGGATAACTACTGTGCAGGGCAGCATGGGCATGAAATGTTTTCATCATCTCAGTGAGTTGTCATAACCATTTATATTCTAAGGGTTGCTATAGAATCACAGAAGTGGGGGTAGAGTGAGCTGACAGTGGGAATACGCC